TTTGCTGAGGAAGACTGGCCCTGGGCTAACATCCGTGCCCATCTTCCTCCACTTTATATGGGATGCCGCCACAGCATGGCTTGCCAAGCAGTGCATTGGTGTGTGCCCGGGATCTGAACCAGCGAACCCTGGGCTGCCGCAGCAGAGCGTGCACACTTAACCGCTTGCGCCACCCGGCCAGCCCCTCTATATGTTCTTTTAGTGGACCTAACAGAAGGAGCAAAGAAATATTTTTTCCTGGACCATAAATATAATGTAAGCTCAGAACCCAAAGCTGAGATAACATGAAAAAGCACAAAAATAAAGTCAAAGCCATCTCTAATCCTACACTCACAGATAACCACTTGAAAACTTAATGTATCTTCCTGCAGTCTTTCCTTGGTGCATTAGTATGAGATATTACATACCTAATTTTGCATCTTACACTTCATTAGGAACATTTTCTTATTTCAGTAATTATTTCTGGAGAATGGTTTTCCTGTATGGCTATCCCATGACTACTTATGCATTCCATTACTATTAGAAATCTAGGTTCAATCTAAGTTTTTGCTGAGTATGTTTGTCTATTACTCAGTCTTTAGTCTTTGCCCATATCTAATTACTTCCCTCTGACAGACTTCTACAAGTATAATTAATCTAACAAATGTATGTAATAGTGAATGTAATTATGTAATAGGCTGGATGGCAAATATTTTAGGCTTCAAAGGCTACATAGTCTCAATCACATATAGTCATGTGCCGCCTAATAGTGTTTTGGTCAATGACGGACTGCACATATGACACTGATCCCATAAGATTAGTACCACATAGACTAAGGTGTGTAGTAAGCTATACCACATAGGTTTGTCTAAGTACACTCTGTGATGTTCAAACAACGATGAAATAGTCTAACAACGCATTTCTCATAACACATCCTTATTGTCAAGCAACGCATGACTGTATTCTTATTTGTGTCTCCCTCCCTCAACCCTTTAAGAATGTAAAAAATGGGCTGGCTCCATGGCCTAGTGGTTAAGTTTGGCATACTCCACTTCAGTGACCCAAGTTCGGTTCCCGGGTGCGGACCTATACCACTCGTCAGTGACCATGCTGTGGTAGAGACCCACGTACAAAATAGAGGAAGACTGGCACAGTTGCTAGCTCAGGGCAAACCCTCCTCAAGCAAAAAGAGGAAGACTGGCAACAGATGTTAGCTCAGGGCGAATCTTCCTCAGCAAAAAAAAAAAAAAAAAAGTGTAGAAAATATTCTTAGCTGGTGCTGGTGGGCCATATGAAAATAGGCTGCAGGCCAGATTTGTCCTGTGGGCTGTAGTTTACCAAACCCTGATCAAATGTACAAATTGTTAAGATTTTTCCATATACATCAAATTGTTGTTCCTGAAGAAAGCTTTACGACTATACTCCCACTAGCCGTATACAAGCATGGTCTACCTCACTGTACCTTATCTAAACTTTGTAAAACTTACCCACCTACCCCATCTTAACTGTTACATTCTTTTGTCCTCTGATGACATCCCTGCCATTCTTTGCCCATGTGTTTTATACCTTCTTATATTTTTACTACCACTGTAACAAGATCTCAATGAGGAGATAATATATGTGTTCAATCATGCACCTTTTATAGGAAATCTCTCATGTTTTTAAAAATTCTGTAGCTTTTTAATGCTTTAAAATCTGTGAAGACTTGTCTCTCCTTACACTTTACTAAGATCTCCTTTGGTACTTTAACCTGTTTATTTTTCCAGATGAAGTTCGATTCACTTTGCTAACTGCCTGCTCTCCATTACCCAACTATAAATGTATCAGCGCACGCACACACAACCCCCCCACACCCCCGCTTTTTAAAATAAGTTCCACATAAATGCACTTAAGGGGTAATGGTCATTATGAAAAACTGAAAAACAGGAGGCACAGCCATTCTTCTGCATTTTGCCAAATCATAGCCTTTCCCAAAGGACATATACATAATAGCTCCTCACTAATTTTCCCTAACCTGGGGAAGATTAAAGAGTACCTCAAACCCCCTTAGAGCATTTTATAAGTTAATAATATTCCCAACTCTGATTTTATACAATGTGGGTAATATTTTCAGCATAATTTAACTTCCAATGTAAACTTTTTAGTATTCAGAATGCCTTGCAGCTATATTTCTCATTATAAATAAATATATTGACATTCTGGTCTACGTAAGCATGGTTAGGGTGAAATCATCCCCAGGGGGCTGATGCTCTCTCAGTTTACAGATAAAATTAATTTTCCAGGTCCACATGACTGAAGCCAAAACCATGGGAATGTTATGAATTTATGAATATAAACACCACTTTATCATGTCTCTTTTGGCAACTTCTGCGGCACTTTAACATTACTTTGTTCTCTCAAATTTCGAAACTATGTATTCACTCATGCACATAACAGTCACCAAATACCCACTAGCTGTCAAGCTCTGTACCAGATGAGAAGGAAGCATTAGATTTTTGCCCTCATCGAGCTCAGAGGTTAGGAGGGGAAACAAAAATATATGGGCGACAACACCATGGGCGACACCATAATGTGTTAAATGCTATTGACAGATTCTGTGAGAACCTAAAAGAGAAATGCAGAATACTTAACCTAATCTGAAAGGATCACCTGAGCTGAGTGTTAAAGAGTACACAAGAAAGAGCCAGATGAAAATAGAGGGGAAGGAGAGAGGGCTTTCTAGGTAGAGGACTGACACTTGAAGTCAGGGCAGGGGTGGCAAAAAAAAAAAAAATGAAGCTGATAAATGAACAGCTGCTCACCAGCACTAACCATCAGGGAAATGCAAATCCAAACCACACAGAGGTATCACCTCATACCTGATAGAAAGGCTATTACCCAAAGGACAAGAAAGAACAAGTCTTGGCAAGGATGTGGAGAAAAGGGAGCCCTTCTGCACTGGTGGTGGGAATGTAAATTGGTGCAACCACTAAGGAAAACAGTATGGAGATTCCTCAAAAAATTAAAAATACAACTATCATATGATCCAGCAATTCCATTTCTGGATATTTATCCAAAGAAAATGAAAACATTAACTCGAAGAGATATCTGCGCCCCCATGTTCACTGCAACATTATTTACAATCACCAAGATATGAAAACAACCTAAATGTCCATCAATGAATGAATGGATAAAGAAGTTGCAGGACATATATACAATGGGATATTATTCAGCCATAAAAAAGAATGAAATCTTGCCATTTGCAATAATATGGATGGACTTTGTGGGCATTATGATAAGTGAAATAAGCCAGAGAGAGAAAAACAAATACCATATGATCTCACTTATATATAGAAATCTAAAAAAAAAAACCCTCCAAGCTCATGGATACTTTATAACTTCCAGTTATAAAACACATAAGTCACGGGGATGTTATGTACAGCATGGTGACTACAGTTAATAATACTGTATTGTATATTTTAAAGTTGCTAAAAAAGTAAATCTTAAAAGTTCTCATCACAAGAAAAAAAAACTTTTAACTATGTATGGCGATGAGTGTTAACTAGAATTACTGCAGTGATCATTTCAAAATATATACAAACACTGAACCAGCATGTTGTACATCTGAAACCAATATAATGCTGTATTTCAATTATACAGACCTCAATTTAAAAAAATGAAGCTGAGACATAGACAGAAGAAGGATCACAAAGGGCACTGTATATATCCTGAAGAGTTTAGGTTACCAAGAAAGCTAGTCTTGCTTGCATGCAGGGAGTCTGACAGGAATAGATTTGCATGTGGGAAGATCACTCTAATGGTAATATGGAGAACTGAAAGGGGATGGAGGGTTGGAGACAACCTGAAGGCAGAGACAGCCTTAAGGAAACTACTGCAGTAATCTAGGCAAGCAACGATGAGGGCCTGGACTAAGGTACCAGCATGAGGTTAGAGCAATGGTTCTCAGTTGGAGGTGATTTTGCATTTTTGGCTGTCACAAGTGGGGAAGTACTCCTAGAATCTAGTAGGTAGAGGCAAAGATGCTGCTGCTAACCATCCTACAGTGTACAAAACAACCCTCCCCACCCCCAAATGAAGAATGATCCAGCCCCAAATGTTAACAGTGCCACAGCTGAGAAAATCTGGGAAAGAGATTCAAGAGCTATTAAGGAGCTTTAGGAGATACAACTTGTAGACTGATCGGGTGCAGATGGTGAGTAAGAAGAAGGCTAAAGGAGGACTCCCAGTTTTCTGGTTGGGGGAATCTGAGTAGCTGATGGAACAGAAAAGGCATGAAGGAAGCATCATTTTTTTGAGACACGCAGATATGGAAGTATCTGTGGTGCATCCAAGTTGGAAACAGTGGCTTGGAGCATAAAAGAGATATTTGGACCAGAGATACACTCTGGGAATTGAAAGAGTAGGACAAGCCATGAGATTGGGTAGGAGTGACATGGAGTAAAGGATGAGCACATGGCATAAAAAGTGAAAAACACTGAATAGATACCTGGAGCACACCGATATTTAAGGGAAAATTGACTCCGAGATTATTATTTTTTAAATTCTTTAACTTATACATGCAAAGGATTTTATTTGGAAAGTATTAACATTCCAAATAATTATTTTTAAGGACTCTGTTTCTCCATTATTCCAGTTCTCAAAATCATTTTGAAACTCTGACCTAAGAGTAGACGCTCTCCTAATTGACCATTAACCACCATGCCCCATTACCTCTGATGATGACAACATACCACAGGCCACGCCCCAACATGTCTACTCTTATCAAACAGTATGCTTATCAAGGGCCAATTTCATTTGTTCCAGGCAGTTATAATTATTGTTATTACATAATTTAATAAAATATCAATAAACCAATAAAATAAATGTTCAAAAAGAAAAGTTGTTTCCATGAAAGTGAAGTCAAACACTCTGGAAATACACAAAACCTTACCATAACACAGTAACTGAGGTCAAAAATTTTAATCACATAAATACACGGTCAGATTAATGCTAAACTATAAAGTGACCCAGTGTGAGCCTGCAGAGCTGGCTGGTTAGGCATTCAAGAGGTTGGATTTGGGCTCTAACCTGTCGCTGCCATATAGAAGCTCCAGGACGTTTCTGCTAGTTACTTAACCCAAGACTCAGTTTCTTCAACTATAAAATAGCAATAATGTCATTTCAATATAGGGTTGTTTTGAGATTAAATGTAGGGTTGTTTGAGATTAAATGAGGTATTATAGGTGGCTAACACAATCCCTAACCCACAGTGAGCAAATACCCAGTAGGTAATGTTATCTTTCAATCATTCCTTGGGAAAAGGAAGACTTTTCTTTTAAAGAAGACCCAAGGTTTGAGATATTTATTTCATATTATGGTTAGATTTTATAGCTGCTCTCATCTTTCCTGCAGAATTCTAAAGAGAAGTTTGGCAAAGACCTACTATTATCTCTAGGCTTAGTTCTACTGGCAGAATCTCTGATAATGTCAAATCATTAAGAAGAGAGCAGGTGACAGAACCCATCACCAAAACTAGACGGATCCTGAATGCCAAAGACTCAAACAATGTGTATCTGACTTTTATGTAGTATAATAACCATCATGTTTTTCTTAACATGGATTATATACCTCACTAAAATAAGACAAGTATATTTACCTTGATTATTATCATTCTTCTCTTTTTATTTTAAAGAAAGAAGATAAAACTAGCAATTTCCCTTAGATTCTGCATGGGAGGGACCAAGTCATACTCAGCGTTTGATTTCTAGCACCTAGCAGTAGGAGGCAGTAAAGTCTTTGCATAAATGAAATTGTATTTCTATTCTTTCTTAAACTTAAGGTAGTCATAAAAGTCATCATACCTACTCTTTTCCCAGTATGTACATGTACTGGGGAGGTCTCCATGGGAGAGGTAAGTGCTTTCCCTCAAATGTTTGATTATACGAAAAAAAAGAACACTCTCTTCTTAACAGAACAGACTGCTGTCTCCACGGAGTGGGGGGTGGGGAAAGTGAGGGGATGATTATCATCAGATTAATAATAGTACTCTTTGAAATTACGACTGCTGTGAGACTGGAATAGTACGAATAAACAAGTTTGGGGGCTTCCACTACTTTTGGAGGAACTAGCTAGGACTGGAGGAACTGCACCACTAACTAGGATGCAGTCTGGAGGAAACTGAAGAAGTTTTAAAACATGTACAACACAACTATAATTTTCATGAACATTTGGTTCTGTGAAGTTACCAAATGTAGAATAGCTATAAGTAGTCAGATTAATGTGTAAAATTCTAATAAACACTGAGGAACTTACCTAGATTTATCCAAATTCCACCTGGCTTGAGTATTTTCCATATTGTGTCAATATAATCAATTACATTGTGAGCTGTGTCTATGAAGAAACAGGTTGCAATACAGTCCCAGGTATCTATTCAAGGAAAATCAAATTACTACATTTGTTATTTTGCCTTTCAATTAATTCTATAAATGTACCAGTTACTTCTTACAGAATATGAATATTTAACTACAGGGATATAGAAGCTAAACTCCTCCACTCAACTACTATAATCAGGGTAACCAAATAATCATTTATGAGACACTTCGCAACTCATAAAAGTTTTTATTAATAATTTGATAATCAATTTGCAAATCATTTTTTATCACCTATATTACTACATAGCTTTACCAAATGATATTTATAGGAGTTTTGTTTATAATCTATTCAAATTCTAGCCTTGATTAACATCAGTTAAGATGAAATAATAGTCATTTGAATTTTAAATTATGATTTAAACCAGTATTAACTACCAATTCTAGAAGGTTTCAGAAAGACTGCATGCACTTGTGGCCAACTGAGAAATGAAGGGCATCAAAATACTTAAACATCCACCAGTACTTCGGAGAATCTCCTTCGAAAAGGGAGGATGGGGCAGTCAGAAGCAGTGGGTGGGCACCCAGCAGACAGTGCTGTTTGCCTCTTGGAGGCTGCGGCCTGGCACAGGGATAGAGACGGGACTGAAGTGTACACATGCTGGGGCTATAAAGGCACATGACCCAAGCGCAGATTACTTCCTTTATCTCCTCTCTCAAACCCTGCTCCAGGAGAAAGTCACTTTCACTTGTTGAAGTGATGTTTTCCATTACTTCACTCTTATTTTGAGACCTTGCTCCCTAACTTATCCCCAAAACCTAACATCTTCCATCTCTCTCTTTCTACCTTCAGAGTACAGGTTTTCCCAATGTCAGAGTTCAGGGAAAAATTAATAAAAACTTGACTATCTTGCTACTCTTCTACTTGAATCCCTCCAATGGTATCCCATCTCTCTCAGAGTACAATTCGAAGTCCTTGCTATGGCCTGCAAGTCTGCCTCAGCAAACCCTCTCCAATCTCATCTCCCACCACTGTACCCACCACTCACTACATCCCAGCCAAAATGACCCTCTTGCTCTTCCTGGAGCAGAACAAGTGCCCTCCCCACCCTCTAGTCCTCCTTCCCTCTCCATGCCCTCTATCTGCAACATTCTCCCCCACATATCTGAATGGCTTGCTTCTTCACTTTTTTGAGGTTCTCTACTCAACATTTTTTTTTTAGGTTCTGCTCTTACAAAGGCCTTCCTCCTTAACTCTACATAAAACAGCAGCCCCTCCCCAGTCACTCATTATCCCCTCTCCTCTGCCTTATTTTCCCTCCTCACAATATTAACTTGTTATTGCCTCTCTCTCCCTACCAGAACATAAGTTCCCCGTGTGCAGGGGCTTTGTTTTGCTCATGGCTCTCTTTCCAATGCCTAGCACACACCGGCTACTTAGCAGGTGCTGAACAAATATTTGTTGAATGAATGATCTTGGTGACCCCTCAGCATTCTATTTCTCTTCTTCCTTTTACTGCCAATCACCCTCTCCTCTTTCCCCATTACCATCTCCCTTTCTCTAATGTCTAGCTCAAATTTCTTCAAGAGTTTGCCAGTCTAAACTTCATAGCCTGATTATAAAGGTCCTCCACAATCTGGAACCAATCTACTTTTCTGGCCATTATCTCCCATTAAACCCTCAAAGAAACTTCCCTTTCTCTTCCAGTCAAGTAGTTCTCATCCCCAATTACCTATTCATTCACATCTCGGTACCTCTGCCTACCTAGATTTCCTCCTCCCTATCCTTCAAGTCACAGCCTCTCCACAAAGAACTTCCTTCTCATACTACCCTACTTTCCTCTATATTGCATCACTCATTTGAACTTTGTTTATATGGTGCCATATTAATAGACCCAACAGATTCTAAATGTCTTAATTGTGAGATCTTATACTTCTTTATATTTCCTATCATTGCCTTACACAAGACCTTGAAAATATTCTAAATTGTCACTGAAGTATACCTGATATTCCACCATCAAAATGATTGACTAAAACTTTGACTTAGTATAAAATTAGCTCATTAAATTTAGAATAGAGGACAAGACATTTAAAATGCTTGCTTTGGACTTACTGCATTCTGAGTATATTTCTTGAAAATCTCCAGCTGTCATAGAAAAGTTAGAACCAGGAGGAAGACTGTGGGGGTCAACATCAGGGAAAAAGATGGGTCGAATCTGATCAGCTGACCTCCGGTTATTGCTAAACTGATGGATCCAGGGATAAAGCTTATATTTATTAATTTCAGAACATCTGCAAAATATGAGCATAAAATTCAGTGTTAACTAAACATTTTACCAAGAAAATCTACTTTAAACACTAAAACATAATCTCTTTGATTGAAAGTTTATTTATATAATTCATTAACACAAAGTGTAACCACTACACTCCATCCAATTATCTGAAAATGCACATATACATGCAGATGAGTAATTAATCATGGATTAAAAAACAGAAAAAAAATTTAAGTAAATTCAGAGATATAAATGTATTGTTCTTTCAAATTTTTAAAAACATATTTCCAAACTTCAAACTCAAGTAGAAAACAGTCCAACTATTTTTTCAAAAACTGGTATTGGTTTTGCTTGTTATCTATTTTAATTATTTTGTACCACCCTGTCCTTTTTACCTTCTCACCATCCCCTAACTCATACTGCCACCAAGACAACATATTATTTAAACAAGGCAGCTATTTATTTTTTCCCTAACACATCTCTTCTGGCTTCAAAAATAACTCTTTTCCACTGCCTTCTAAAAGAGGCCACAGAAGTTCTACGAGATCTTTCCAACTCAGTCATGTGAGCATAATTGGCCATTTTCTAGGAATTTGATAAAAAGAGTAATGATTGCTACACTGAGCTCTTACTCCACTGAAGAAACAAGTGGGTGAAGAAGTTTAAGGAACAATGAGAAAATACTCCTTCCTGGATCATACTTAGCCATGAAATTCTGGACAGAAATCATTTCATTTTCACGGAATGCCCAATTACTGTCTAAGAAGTAACTTACCCATTCCGTTTCAACATTCTGTTAACTAGGCAACTGATTAAAACGGTAATTTGTATAAGCAATTTGACTTAAGAAACATGATATATATGATAATTAAACACTATGTATTTATCTTCGAATTCAGAATTGTTCAAAAATAGGTAAGTCAATCTGATTCTGAGAAATTACTATTTCCAGCAAAAAGTAAATTAAATACCTGTTGAGTACAAAGTTGGAAGAAAAGAGCATAAAAAAACTCCATTCATTTCCTTGACAAGCATAACCTAGCATAGCTATTTCCCAGGCCAGTCTTCCTAGTCCAGCACCAGGTACCAGAATATTTACTTTAGAAGGATCCCTGAAATGAAATAAGGCAATTATGTCCAACCCCTCAAAGAAAAAGAAAAAAAAAAAAAAATACAAAATCCACATTAACAACTAAAATCTTAGATATTCAATAAGAATAAGCTCACTCAAGACTCTGACTTCTTAAAATTGAGAAATAATTCTAACTACCAACAAAAAATAAAGATGTAAGGAATTATCATATGTTCAGATATCAGACAAAAGTTTTTCCCCCAAAATATTATTTTTCAGAAAAAAGGGAGTTGCCTTATATCTGAAGACTTATGAAGACACTCATATTCCTAGTAGCTGTCACCTGAACAACTGTCCTGGGAAGACAAATTATCCCAAAGGGATCCCAATACATACAAAAAGATTGAACAAAATCATTTTATCATATGAAACAGTAAAACAAATTTATTTCTAAATTCTATATCTAACACAATGGTTTATATAACTAAATAGATGAACTATATGTAGGTTTTAACGTGTCACGTATATCTTTAAATCTTATATATTTCAGTTGGCAAAAGAATTCGGAGGGGGCATATTCTCCTGGGGAAATGGGGAACTGCCTTCTAATTGAGCATACACAATGGCAAATATATCACACAAAACCAGAGATTCATAACCAAACTGTTCTCTAGTTATTAGCATCACACTGCCATCACAAATTTCCTTTGCTGTAAGACCCATGGCCATTCCACTTTCAAACTGCTAAAAAGCCTCAGCAAGGCGAGGACCTTTCTAAGGAATTCTGGCAAATCAATATAACCCTAAGGAAACTAAAATGGTATTCTTACAGGAAACCAAGAAAATGTGTATAATCAGCTGGCATCATATCAATTAAAAAGGAATTTCACTATTATCTGTATTCCCCAAATTTAGTTCATAAATCAAATCCCACATACAATTCTTTTTTATGTTCAAACTGCCTGGTCTTTAAGTTTGGTGGGCTCCAAACAGTAAGAGGGCATTTTATTAGTGGCTCATATTATAGCCTCTGCATTTCCCACTTAGAAAGGAAAAAGAAACAGAACTATGGGGCTTTTGAAAATTTAGTCTACAAATATAGTAACATGGGAATCTGCCCAGGGTCATTCAGGCTTAAAAAATCTATAAATGGAACATGTATTTGTATAAAAACCTTAACAAAGTCTATTTAGTTTGCTTCACTATTGAATTTTATATATACAGTAAGGTATAAACCAAATTTGTTACAAATAATTTCTGACAAATAGATATTAAGATTAGTAAGACATTCTTTCTTTAACACTTGATAAGGGCAAACTGATGCCAAGCTGCCATATAATAAAATAAAATAGAATGCTTTCTTCTCATTCCAGATTATATACAATGTTTGTGTGTGTAAACAGTTAAATTTTTAACAAAGAGAATGGGTACATCCTCCTGTTTTGTTCAGGCCTATCTGTATCAGTTATGTAACAAGAATATACATGTTCTTAATATTAGAATTTGAAAATTCTAGGACTCTTTGCCACCCCTTGTGTAAAGGACCAGACAGTACAGCACCCCACCCAGGCCTCTGTCTTTTTCCACTACCTACCAGACCCACCAAAACCCTTCCTTTCCCAAATTACCTCTTTTCTTTTCTCAGTTCCCATTTGCCCAGTTAAAACATGCCTTCCCAAGTGGTTGTTCTCAGCTTAGATTAAAAAATCAAAGTAATACAACAGAAAGCAAAATGATTTGGAAGTAAATTCACAGTAATTTGGAATGATCTGGAAGTAATTCACACAAAAATTATCACACAGAAATTAGAAATCATGCTAATCTCAAGGGAAAGTTGTGTTAATAATGGTACCTTTTGGTAACATATGGAAAGTTAACTTTATGACTGTTACTATCAAACTCTCCCTAACTAATCAGACCCATGAATTTTCTATCTCCAACTTGTGGCAGAAAGTTTCTGAATAAAACTACTATTAAAAGGCTGCCGTCAAGCCATGGAATGCAGAATATATCAAAGCCCCATTTTAAGAGTTAGTAGAGATTACTATAGATCTACAAATTATTTGTATGACAAAAAGGGGCGTTTCAGTGGGCATATAAAAGGAGACATTAAAACAAACTCTCTAGGGCCGGCCCTGTGGCTTGGTGGTTAAGTGCGCGCACTGCGATGCTGGCGGCCCGGGTTCGGATCCCGGGTGTGCATCGAGGCACCACTTCTCTGTCCATCCTGAGGCCGAGTCCCACATACAGCAACTAGAAGGGTGTGCAGCTGTGACATACAACTATCTACTGGGGCTTTGAGGGCAAAAAATAAAAAAATAAATAAATAAAATCTTTAAAAAAAAAAAAAAACTCTCTAGAACTATAAAAATGATCAAGACTCAAGCAATGAATGGGTGATACGGAGAGGATTATCCCCTAAATCTTCGTTCTTAGCTAGATTTTTTTTCATTGGGTCTTTATATAAGGGATATTATCAACACAATGTAAAGTCTTTCTAATTATAATGGTATGAAACTAAGGCACTCCAAAAGGCACTTTCTGCTATGAATCCATATAAAGTCTAGGGCATTTCTATGAAGGTATTTCTGTGGAGAATAAGAGAAATATAAATCTAAGTATAATCCTTTATGGTGAGTTGGCTAAACCTTAGAAAATCAGGAATAGAGGCATATAATATGTGGCTCAGTAATCAAATTGCCTGCTTGAGATTCTTAACAAAACAATAAGCAAGCAAACAAGTTTACCTAAGTGATTAAGGTCCAACAATGGAGAAGCAGTATATTTACTACAAATGTGACACTATCTGATAATAGCAGGAAAAATTTCAAATGTTTATTCAAGACAAGTAAGAATGGAGAAGGAAGAGTACATCTCTAAGGACAGAAGAGAGAGTGTCCGTGCGTCTGAAGAGGCTGTGGGTCACATTTGCACCACCCTTTGTGCTCTAATTATTCTACAAGCAGTAAATGCTGTTCCTGAGAAAGGTTTCCTTTACTGTACACAGAACGATCTTTGCACTGCAGGTGCACATTAGCAAACTCCAACAAAAAACTTTCTCTTGTTGTGTCAACATGATGACATTTAGCTGATCCCTAGTGGTAGCAGGATGCACAACTTGCAAGCACCAAAAGTGTTTGGTTCTGTTTGAATCACAGCAATTCACTGTCCAAAATAGTAAAAGCCACTAACAACTTGTGGCTACTGAACACTTAAAATGTGGGTAGTCCTAATTGAGATGTGTTGTCAGTGTAAAATAAATGCCAGACTTTGAGACTTAGAATAAAAAAGGAATGTAAAATATTTCATTAATACTCTCATATACTGATTATATGTTGAAATAATATTTTAGACATACTAGGTCATTAAGGTATATTATTAATTTGACTTGTTTCTATTTACCTTTTTATGTGGCTACTAGAAAATTTAAAATAATATATGTGGCTTGTATTATATTTCTATTGAATAGTGCTGGTTCATACAGAGAAATCGTAAAAACACTATTTTTGGCAAAAAACAATTGTGAAAGGACACCACAAACCAATATATGAATTTTTAAAACATACAGAACACAATGTATTGTTTAGGGGTATATAAACATGTAGTTAATGTAGGAAGATAAGACCAGAATAACAAACAAATTCATGTTAGTTCCTATCTCTGGAAAGAGCGAGAGTAGAATGTGCTCTGTGTGGTTTGCAGGGCAGATTCAACTGCATCTGTAATGTTTCTTCTAAAACAAATACAAAAAAAATCTGAAGTAAATATGACAAAATGTCAAGATTTAATAGAGCTAGGTGTTGAAATAATTTTTTATTCAAAGTAGAAAATTGGTTAAAAATCAGATTAGTGTCTAGCTCCTTGGTCCCAACTTACCTCATCATCCACTCCCAACAAAGAACTGCCCACATCATCAGCCAGACAACTTCTCACCAACTCCAGAAAACATTTTCTCACCTTAATCTTTAGAGCTCCTACACACCCACAGAACTTCAGTTTAAATTATCACCTTATCTATGAAGTCTTTCCCAACTATCCCAGGCAAGGCTTGAACTCACTTCTCGATGCTTTTAGTACTTCATTCATACCTCTGCTACAGTTTATATACCAAGTTCTTTACTTTGCTCCTTTCATCTAATACAGGAGTCAGCAACCACGATTCACAGGCCAGTCATCTGTTTTTACAAAAAAGGTTTTACTGGAACACAGCCATGCCCATTCATTTATGTATTGACTATGGCTGCATTCCCATGACAACAGAGCTGAGCAGTCCCCAGAGACCACACTGCCTGCAAAGCCTAAAATATTTACTAGCTGGCCCTTTAAGAAAAAGCTTGCCAACCCCTGATCTGAGTATCTTGAACCTCCTTCCCTATCAGCCACAGAGCGTCCTTAACCTCTTTTATGACTGAATAAATATTCCATTGCACGACTGTACGATAATGTATCAAAATGCTCTAATGAAGGACATTTAGATTGTTTCCAGTCTTTTGTTATTATAATGTTAAAACTAATATCCTTAGAATAAATAATTTTCCACATGCAGGAGTATATCTGTAGAAAGCTTCCTGAAAATTGAATTGCAAGTCAAAAGATATGCATTTAAATTTTGTTAAATATTATGAAGTCACCCTCCATAAGATTTTACTAATTTATTCTTTCTTCAGCAACATATACAAATTTCCTCACACCTTCAGTAATAGTTATATAACTTTTAAATCTTTGCAAAGTAATAGGTGAAAAATGGCATCTTAGTGTGGTTTTCACATTTACATTTTCTCATGAGATTGGGCATCTGTTCTACTAGGTTATTAGTCTTGAATTGTTTTTCCACTGAGTTATTACTCAAGATTTGTATGCACTTGAAATCTGAAATTATAGGAGCCTGAGATCTTGATTTGAAAGAAATCTGAAATATATATCTTTGGTCTAAGAGGGCTTTCAAGATGAGGGAGAAATCTATTTTCAGTCTCTAAACTACTCTTGCATTATTTGGCAGTCTACATTTTCTCCATTTTCTCTTTTAAAACGGTTTCTTTT